TGTTATTTCCTGTAAATAGTAAGAACCAGAGCAAGTCCTCTGGAAACTTCCACGTGCTTGCAGGTGACTTCATCTGTGTCTACATAGATGAAACCTCGATAAACAAATTCTCTGAACATTCATTTGATTCCAGTAAATGTGTCTCCTGGACAGCAGAGCCAGCAGACTTCAGTTCAGTGCTCTGAACTAATACCTCACACGTTTCGGTTCTCGTCTTTTATTAAACTTTATTATTCGTTTTTCACGGCTGTTTCCTGGAATCACTTTTGGATTTTTTCACAAAATTAATTCTACTAAACTGAAATTAAATAATTCAGTGCTGAGGTCCTATTTTATATTGTACTGTACGTGATGTGCAGCACTGCAGTTTGATGGCTCGCTGTGTGTCTCTCGCTCAGGTCGACGAGAGCTTTCCTGCCCGGTGGAATCGCATCTGGTCCGACTCGTTCCCAGAGGCTGAAGTAAGCGCCTCTTATCTCTCAGCTACACAACAACGTCAGCTTTGATGCTCGCAGTCGTGCCTGCTGCAGCCATGAGATGTTTATTAACCCAGTAAAATGCTGTGTTGTGGATATTTGAGCGTGCTGACCTTGTCTGTTCTTTGCACTCTAGTTCTTTGACAGAGTGCTGATGCTCTCACAGAGGCTCTACAGTCTGGAGGTGAAAGTCTGCCCTTGACTCTATAAATGAAATGCATTAGTATGTAATAACATCTCAGCTGCTCATCATCGTCTGCGACGTTTTTGTTGTTTCACCTGGTCTCGTGTGTCTCTTCAGGCCATCGTTTCGCAGCAGGACAGTCAGATCGAGCTGCAGCGGGCCTCGCTGACGGAGCGGGCCTCCCTGCCCGGCCGCCACAAGGGGAACGTGCTCCTGGAGCAGGAGAAGCAGCGGACTCTGGCCTTGCAGAGAGAGGAGCTGGCCAGCCTCCACAAGCTGCAGTCGCAGCACCGGCAGGAGCAGCAGCGCTGGGAGAAGGAGAGGGAGAGGCACCGCCAGCAGGTGGAGGCTACCGAGGCCAGGCTACGACAAAGAGAGGAGGAGTGCAGGAGGACGGAGGTGAGGTGCTCTCTGTTACCTAAGAGCTGCAGGACAGTTACGTTTGGCTTTCTGTTTGCTGAAGACTAAACTTGCTGAGCTTATATTTAACAAAGCCTAAGCTGCAGCATCACTTCTTGTTGCGCAGGAGCAACTGGCAAAAGAGAAGGAGGAGTTGGACATGCAGAGGGAGACGTACCAGCAGGACCTGGAGAGACTGAGAGAGTCCACCAGAGCTGTGGAGAAAGAAAAGGAACGCCTGGAACACCAGAAGAAGATCAAGAGGAAGACCATTGAGGTGGGGCACCCATGCTGGTGGCCACATGCACTGTTGTTATTGTTATGATGTATTACGGGCTCACACGTGTTGCATGCATTTGATTTGAAGCATTTAATTTCTTTGTGCTCGCTTTTGCACGATGGTTCATTAGTGTGTCCGTGTGCCCTTTCTCTCTTCATCACTTTGAAGTGGAAACATGAAGAAGCTGCCACGGGACCCTTTTTTTAGTTGCTTATCGGGTCTCCTACGAGTGGGAGAAGCATCGGTGTCATAGACGGGCTGATGGTACACTGACGGTTGAAAACACACCTCTGTGTGCTTCATCTCCTTACCCCCCAGCCGCTCTCGTCTTTGCTTATGCTTCCTCTCCTTACGCTACAATGCGTTGCATTGTGAGCTTCATGGGAGAGCAGTTCTGAGACAGAGACTGTAATTTCATGCCCGATGCTAACAAATCTGTCAAGGAGCTACTTAATATCAGCCTTTAGTGTTTTCAAAGGTCTGCAACAACCAATTACAGCTTAGTGGGGTGTCTGTGTGCACCGGCAACTTTTGTCTTGACAGATTTTATCTGTTTGTCAAAGAAAAAAAATATCAGTGGATAGAGCATTTATAATCAGCGCCTGAATCACAGACTTTGAATTGACTTCGTTCATTTGTAGCTGATACAGCAAAGCTTTATGCATCCATGAACAGAGCGCCGCCACATTCACTCTGACACAGCTCAGCGCAGACCCGGGACTCACTGCACGCTCTGGTTCCTGCTTACCTGAAAAAGTGTTATGATTTATGTAACAGTGCGATGTGTTGGCTCAAGCTCTTTCACAGCCTCTAGAAATACCTAAAGCTAATTTCAAATACTAATATTACAGCGTGAATGTGAAAAGCTACCAGCTACACGCACACCATGTGCGTGCTGCCTTTTTGCAATGATGTTGTGATGACTCTGACTGCAGCACAGTGATTCACCGTCACTGGACTGCAATTACTCAAGTCTGTAAACCATTGGTGCTGTTACATGGTGCATGTATTTCTGTCTGATTGCAATCTATAGTTATGTCATAAGTCCCTCTCTGCTGATTGGCCAGCGTCTCCAGCCTGCATACCATGCTGACTAACTGTCAGCTGACACGACGCTGTTCATTCACGCCCAGACACGTCCCAGAAAGCGCTACAGAGCTCTTTTGCAACTGTGGATTCCTTTTTTAAAATCGTCTGTAACTTTGCTCAGCTTCACACGGTGACCTTTGCCCTCGTGCATTCTCACAGATTTCATGTTAGGAACCTTTTTTAATGCCCCAGACCTCGAGTAACGGGAGTGTAGACTCAGGATGTACACAAACATAACCAGCTGATGTGAATTATTGCAGTTATCATCTCATTACAAGCTGCAGAGGCCTTTGACTGTGAGTCATATCTGGAGTACTTCAGTGGCTCCAGGAGAACCACATCCCCTCTGATGAAGCAGCAGAGCCTCTGGGTGAACTGACCTAATCCTCTGTCATGAGTAATCCTCTTCTAATTATAGAGGCCTCGGCGACGGTGAAAAAGGTTTCTGTGAAGTTTGTTGCATGAACTGCAAGATGAGACCTGAACTACATCACACTTACAACCTATGTAATCAGTCTTTGTGCGTGCATTTTGTACATACGTGCAGCGTCTGTGGGTTTCAGTTCTATGCTGTTGGCTGGGACTTTCTTGGCTGTTGTTTGGAGAGATTTGGAAGTGGTTTCTTCTCCCTCTGTGTCAAACACATCAAACGGTCTTTTCATTAGCTACACCCGCAGGATCTGTTCCAGGCTCCTGGCCAAGCTGATATCAACAGACATTTATCTGCCACCAACCAAAATGAGGACTCATCAGCAATCGCAGAGAGCTTTGATTAGACTCATAAAAAGAGACATGCTTCTGTGTGCGCATTTCTTAACATACGTGAGCAACAACTGTGCAGGTTTTGACATGTTCTGACTGAAGAGAGCATTTTTCCCTCTTTGATCTGTGTTATCTCGTCTGATCGTAGTTGGCCCCGGGATTTGGGTTGGCTGTGGTCTGATTGTTCAGTACTCTTGTAATTGGAAGGTCATAAAAGCCAAGCGTTGCTGAGGTTACATCTCGATTTCTAGGTTTAAGTGAACGTAAACAACATGATCAAGAAACAGTTGGCCAAATTGCTCCATGCACCAGCTGTTTCACGAGCAGACGTGCGAGACAACAGGAGCAACTAAGAGTGAGCAGTGTTATTTAGATCCTCTCTGATTTCTTTATGTGAAGACACACAAATGTGACTAAAACATAAAGTCTGCAAACGAACAAACAAAGTAAAAGTTCTTGTTGCTCTTTGGCTTTAGCCTCCAGACTGATATTAATTGCTTTGGTCTCAGTGTGTTTCTGTGAAGCTCGCAGTAAACGCTCATCAACACCTCACCATGTGCACAGAAACCTAACGGCCTGTTTCTGGGTTCTTCTATAATCAGCTGCTAGCAGTTGCTTTGTGGAGCTGAGCACTGCGCTCGAGGGCAGATATTTTCTCTGAGCCATCTGCCACTGTGGCTATTCCCACCTGTTAGCTGTACGCTGTGTGCAGTACTGCTCAGTCTTTAACCACAATATTAGCAAATTACTCCCAGTGAATCATTTGCTCTGAGAGAGGAAGGTACTGCTTTACATTCAAAGTACTTTTACTGGAGAAAGTTGCTTTTTTGGGATTAATGAGGATTTTTAAGGTAATAACAGGCTGTGACATGTTATTGATAAAGCTGCAGTGTATTGATCATTGTTGGTGTAAGGAGAACAGACACGGCTGCTTTCTTCCTCTGCAGCCGGCGAGTGACTGAAACGTCATAAATGGGTTAAAGTTCCTCCACATGTTTGTTATTTGTAGAGAATCGACTGAAGTCTAAAACTTGTGCTGAGTGGAAAAGATGGAAATGTTTGATCTTTTGATTGATGCGAGACTTAAAAGATTCATCAGGCATTAATAAGAAATGTTGGCTAATAATTTTGTGGCATGAATAACAGCTGCTGTGAAACACCGTGTTCCACCATGGTGCTTTCTCTGAGTCGGACCACACTCAGGAACTGTAGGATTTACTTAGGTGCAGTTTGACTTTGGATTAAACGTGTTTTGCCTGCTAATCTCGTGACTTCAGCCTGGATCACAGCTGCAAATTAACCATAAAAAACATTTTTAACGTCACTGTTCAACACATGAATCACTCCCGGCTAAAAGCCCCGAGCTGGTGTTGTCAGCATATAGAAGTCTTTGTGCAGGGTTCGTGGATACATTATGATATGGGAATATGCAGGCTGAGAGGAACCTGGCTCTGTAATCAGCTAGTCCAAACCCAGCATTAGCAGTACCCTCTGGAAGGCAGCCAGTGCTAATTGTTTATGTGCTGTCAGGCAGAGCTCTTTGTGCTCGGCAGCTCGTGCGTGGTTTACTGCCCTGGAAACCTGCTGTTTGCGTCGCTTAAAGCAGATCACCTTGTTGTGGGAACAATGAAGGATCTGTGTGCCGAGATGAGCGAGTGCCGAAAGAGGAAAAATTACGGAGAAGAAGCAAAACCGAGGGGTCAAGAAAGGATGAATGGAGACTTCGCCCACAGAGGGCCCCTTCACTGTCTCGGCTAGAGGAAGCTACAGTCTGCACACGAGAGCGCTCGGATGAGTCTGCCTTCAGTCAGGCGTTCCCCATCGCCACAGGAAGTGCTCAGCAGCAGCATCAATCATGTTGCACGTGGACTGCTCGCAGACAGGCTGATGCCACAGAGAAACTGATGTTGATATTTGCACAACATTAAACACCGTTTAGAGGAAGGCTGTTCGTTTATTTTTATAATTAAGACCATCGTAGTAATCCCCAAAGATTTCCTGTCTGTTATTATCATCATCATCATTATCACGTAAGAGGACGGTGAAGAGTTAACCCCTTCTGGCTGATTTGTAGTCGGCCATTGTTCTTTGACTTCTTATATAATGTCAGATAAATATCATTCTCCACCATAACTGGGTCACCGCGCTGCAGAGGCGGATTAGCAAAGTTTGGTTGTGTAGTATTTCTTACAAAAGTGTGCTGAAAGGAGCCTTTGTGGCGATGAAACTTGTGGGATTGTTAACACAAACACCACATCACTGCATTGTTGCAGAAATCCGTCTCACTGAATGCAGCTCGGACGCTGACGTTGACTCGGCCTCCAGATCGTCTTTCCTCCCTTCTAGTAATTAAGTGGAAAATGCGATTCCTATTATCCGCTCATGTCACCGGAGCCGTGTTCCTGTTCGCCTGCTTGTTTAGCAGTCCTGTTCGTTTTGTTCGACACGCCTTTGTGTGCGCACGGATTATTAAGGGTTTTATGTTTCTGATTTTCTGTGTCTGTGTCTCTGTGCGCTTTGTCCTCAAGCAGCTTTGGGGGGGAATCAAAAGCTCGCACCAGATGTACCAAAATGCATGCTCAGCAAGAGCCCAATGTGTTTCTGATTCCCTCTTTAGCCCGTAAATACCCAGCGCCTCAGCAGATTTGATGACGCCCTGCCATTACAGAGGGCAGACGATTCATGGCGTGCGATCTGTGTATTCTCTGCAGCTGTTTGCAGTTGTTCTCATGCACACGCACACACGGGCTGTGCAAACATTTGCAGCTGTGATTCTAAACTGAATCGACGCATCGATATGGAGACTGAGCTTAAAAGTCCACCTTAAGAATAACCCGTTCTTTCCTGTCCTGCAGGTGGCTCCCCTTTCTGGAAGTCTAAATGGAGATCTCCTCATGTCCTCCGGGTCCGCCGACTTGCCTCCGAAGCCGCTGGTGCGTGGCAGCATGTCCGTGGCACAAGCCGACTATCCGGAGCGTCCCGAGGTGATAGCGCGACGTGAGACGGGCTCCTCGACTTTGCCGCTAAAGACGGAGGTGCCGCTCCATCTCTTCAGCACCACCAACCAGCTGCACAAGCCGGTCGGGGTTCAGCAGCAGATCCCCACCAAGCTGGCAGCAATCAACAGCAGCAAAGGGAAAGGAAGCAAGAGCGGCAAAGCTTCGCATCGCACCGACAGCACCGGTGAGGCGCCGGGATCATCAGAAATTCCAGCACTTGCAGACTTGATATTAAATGGCCACAGGTTTAAATACTATACAGTGCAGTCCTGTTTAGAAAGGTACCAAGGAAGGTGACAACGGTGCGGGTCGTCTCTCGCTCACACTCGTGAGAGACTGTTTACTCAAAGCAGTTTGTAAAGCTCAGGTGCTTTTTGAGCAAAGCACTCTGGGTGTAGGCCGTTAGGCTCTAAGTCTCTCCCTCCCGTAGGTGATGTTAATCAGTGCAGCAGACTCTCTAATGGATTTTCTTGCCTGACCTGCGCTCGGCCTGATCGGTCTCATTAGAATCACATGGCAGTCCTCACTGGGTCAGGCTTATCAAACAGTGGCCTCATCTAATCTGATCTCTCTGCTCCCTGTCCCCTCCCTCGGTCTCCCCGCAGCCTCGCTCGGTCTCCCCGCAGCCTCGCTGGACACGAAGCAGGTGCTCCCACTGAAGCTTTCCACCAAAGAGGACAACGCCCACAAGGTCAAGCGCTCCGTCAGCCCCCACCAGCAGGTCCCGATGTTGGCCCCTCCTCAGTCGCACACCCAGCATCACCATGCAGGTATCGCTGTGCACGCGCTCAATCCGACGAACTCAAACACAATCTGCTCTCGTCCGTCTTTGCCTGCTGCATTATTAATCCTGGTTCTCATAGATGCAAACAAAAGAGTTGCGTTCTCCACCTGGGCAAACCTGACCCCACCCAGTCACATTCCTCTCTGAAGTCTGCATGCCCAGCCTCACCCTGTGTAAACACCTATCAGTTTCATGTATGATTAATATCAAGCGGTGCTGCTGACACAGACGTTTTAATCCTCTCTGCTGCAGCTACAAAGAAAAAAGCTCTGGCAGGATTTTGTGACTACATTCCTGTATGAGTAAGCCCGACTGCATCGAGCTGCTGTGAATAACTGTGTTTGCAATAATTCTTTGTTCTTATTGCCTTTCCTGCAGATCAGCCCAGTTCTCTAGACAACGCTGGACCAGACATCCAGTCTGCCTCCCACCCTCCAAATGTTCAGAAGCCCCCCATGCCTCCTGCACAGTCCCATCCTCAACCCTCCCTGCAGCCTCCCATCATACCCCCCCACTCGCAGAGCACCGGCGCTCTTCAGTTCCACTCCCCCGTGCAGCCGCAGAGCCTCAATCCCAGCGCACAGGTTCAAGGGCTCAGCCACAGCCTGCCGCCGCCCTACAAGTTCACCACAGAGGACCTCAATAAGGAGGATGTCATCTTCTTCTGAACTTACGATAGAGGAAAAAACCAGTCCAGGGATTGATCGTCATCCCCATTAAACCATAAGGCCCATCCCGAAGAGCACCTTCCATGCGATCATGTGACTGCAGACGCATTGTTTCAGTAAGGCTGGGGAGGTTTGTTGCAGGGAGGAGGGCTGCTGTGGTTCACATGGAGAGAAAGACGGCGTTTGTTTTTAATAACCCTCATCTGGCCCTAAACTGCCAGTATTAGTGTAATCGTTTAATCTTATTTTATTTAAGTTTTATATCTAAACTTAATTGGCTGAATCATGAAGGAGAGACCTTTGGGGAAACAAAGGAGTGTGGAAAAAAGGTGTAAATGAAGTTTTAGTGATCCAAAGACATTATCCGTGAGAGCTGAACCAGGACGTGACTGAAAGGAGTGAAATCAGGACAGTCGGGGAAGCGACGGCGATCTTACGGCACCTGGAACCACGTGAAAGAAACTCTAACACTGTCTGCTCGATGTTTCATTTGCACAGTGTAAATACTTCAGCCCAGACTGATGGACGAACGGACAAACTGTGTAGTGTCTGACTGCACAGCTGTTAAAATGATGAAGCTTCCTTTCATTTTGTTATTTGTCTTAATTGTGTTTATTGATTACGTCCTTGGTTTTTCCTCTTTTTATGAAAGCCGTGTAAGCTGTCGCGTCCTGTTACTTCATTTCAACCCCGGGGGAGTTTGGCTAATTGTGCAACTAATGAAACTCATGCAGAGTGAGACAAACTCGCAATCTTTGTCACATAGTTTCAACTCTTTCCCCGAACGCTGGGTGTTGAATAACAACAAATAAATGTCTCTCCCATCTTTACGCTCCGTTTGTTGCTGACTCTGAAACATAACTAATACAAACTTATTAGCATCAGCTTTCATTTTAAGGCTATAATTTTCCACTTATACTTATTCAGGAAGCTACTTGCAGATGTCTGAGTTTGTCTCACCGCAGGAAGCCCCTCCCCGCCCCCCATCATCACTTTATGAGTCACATCAGTATGAAACATTTGTTAGTGGAGCTCGAGTGGGTGTCCTGTACATTTCATGCTGGAAGCTATTTTAAAAGCAATCTTTAAACTGCTGTAGTTTTCTTGTCAGTAGCCTGAATAGAAAAACAAGACAACCTATTGGAGCGTAACGGTTTCAGGAGAGAGGATGTGGGCTTCAGATACTGAAAAGTATCAAATATATCGTGAAATAGAACAATTGGTTACAATATAACCCCGGTTCTCTGAGTAAAGAGACTACCTGTCCAGCTCCATATATATGGAATATACAGGCTGCACAGGGATTCTTGACTGCATTTGGTTACATTGCAACTCGGGTTCTCTGAGTGGACGCACACGCCCGACATATTCCATATATACAGAGCTAGAGAGATGCTCTGGACACAGTGGAGAGCCGTGTCCTCTGCTGTCTGTCTGGGGAGGAAAAATGTCAATCAGCAGTGTCTGTTTGACGCAGACGTAAAAACGTGCTGTAGGTCACATTCAGCTTTTCCAATATCAGAATTTGAGATAAACGGTCACAGAGGAATGAAGCGGCTTAAAGGTTCTTTATTTTCCATTTCAATCCACGTGAGTCTTATTATTATTTTTAGGTTTAATGAAATTTTAATCTGTTTTTGAAATGTTTTTGTCACTCGAGCTCATTTTGATGACTTTACAGTTTATAAGAAAAAACCTGGCGGGTACATTTTAGCCCGATCGGGTTTGAGTTTCTGTTGACTGTGTTCTGTATTTATTGTTGAAGACGTTTCATCAGCCTTGTCTTAAATCTCTGTGCCTGCCTGACAGAAGAGCGATGCTGTGGCAGCTGTGGAGGCACAGCTATGCTGTGGTTTGTTCCTCTGCACGCGTGTGGACGTCAGAGTTTGTTCATCCAAAACGAGCTGGTGTCTGAAGCTGTGATCACGGCCTCGACTAGGAGCAGGTTTTTGTGTATATTATTGTACATGCTGGTCGCCCTCCTCCTACATGTGTCCGTTATGTGTATTTCTGTATATACACTTAAACTACACACGTGTGTATGTACAATCTGGTACTGTTTCACCTTCCTGAATGCAGTCTTGGCAGAAATCACAATCGTTCATCATTTGCTGTGTAAATGAAGGTATTTAACCAGCGGCGGTACTCTGCCTGTCGGCTCTCTGGTCGCAGGTTCACTGAGTTCATGGATGAAATGATCCACTTGTTTCAGTTGGTTAAACCAAAGAGGCGTTCAGCTGACGGGGCTCGGTGTCGTGCTTTCTAACATTCACACTCCGATGGATGCATTGGGGTTAGTAGTAAAGCCAGGAATCGAACCACCAGCCTTCCGATCAGTAGATGACCTGCTCTACCGCCTGAGCTACAGCTCATGTGCCGCCTCATCTCAAATATCGCTTTAGTCACAAATGATTATTTACATTTTTATTCACCTGATATGTAGTGTGTGCGTTTCTTGTATTTTTGGACTGACGCTCACGAGTTTGGCACAACAAGCAAGTTCACAGGTTCATCAGCCAGCTTACTCTGGTGGTTACTTAACAGGTGAGACTCCATCATGAAGATCATCTCAGCTGAAAAAGCCACTTAAGCTTTTCGGGACGTTTCCTTCGGTCTGCATTTCTGTTTTCTGCTCGCGTTCGAGTGCTTCGCTTCTGCTCCAGGTCCGAGACGTTAACGAAACCTCAGCGGGGAGATGAAGGCTGCCTCGTGGATCAACTCGAGTCTTAAACGTTGCTTCGCTGTAGTCTCGTTTCTGCTTTCCAACGTGGAGGCCGGTCGGTGGCGTCCCTGTGGACGGTGGAAACATTTTGAAATGCATTTGTTGCTTTGACACATTTGTTGGACCTGTAACGTGTAAATACTTGTTTTATTTCCTCTGCCAACTTTACACTAGTCACTTTGGATAGTAGCATACTTGAAAGGGAAAATGAATGTTCAGAATGCGTCTTTGTTGTCATGTGAACTTTAGTGTCTAATGACGTTTGTAGCACAAAGCAAAACTGATGCTTTTTTGTACCGTTTATTTTATTCACTTTGCGACTGTTAGAATGAGCTGCGGACACAAACTGCTGAATTAGAAACATTTAGTAATAAAAAGTCTTGAAATAATTAGCTTTGTTTGTCCTCTTTGTGCCGCGCGTTTGGATCATTGCTGTCGAGCACGCACTGTGTTTACTGGCTGCGCACGTGCAGCGTATAATTCCGACTCATACGCACTTTTATTCACTGCTCGTCAAAATAATCCTGACCACCCAATTAGCTGGCACCCGTGCCATCTCCCAGTGTCTCGGAGGTGCCGCGGCGGTGTTACTGACCCTGTGTTTAGACGACTTAATAACAGTCTATTCCCAGACGAGGATCTATTCAGGTGCTGCGGTTGAGGCTGTTCTATCCTTTGGTGGACATCGCTAACAGCGGGGCCGCCAGCTCCTCCCTTATTGTCGTTCTGGCTGGGAAGACGCTGCAGCAGCGGCCAGTTTTTATTGTCTGCTGTCATTAGTGGCTTTCCTCTGTCTCCTCTCGACAATTATTTTTCCAGGCTGCTTCCCCTGCGGAGGGAAGCTGCACTTTAATCTGCCTTTGTTTCTGTCTCAGTCCTTCCACTGTTCTGCCCAATTCCTGTCTCCCTGTTTCTTCCCCCTTCTCTCATCCAGCGCCTCCAATCCATCTCAGCCCGACTGATTCACAGCTCGGAGGCGGTTTATGTAATGCTGTTTGCAGGAAGTCAGGAGTCAGAGCCTGTTCTCACCGCAGAGTTAAACAAATAGATGCTCCGCAGAGCCCAGACGTGCAGACAAACATCCCTGCGGGCTCATAAAACACTGAGACTAATCTTGGTTTGATGGACTCTGCGTCGCTGTGGTTGTTGTTCAGTGCGCTGCTTGCTGGAATGAGCCGTTAGGTCATCATGGCTACTTGGAGTCATGTTTTTGTTGTCATCACTCAAAAAATAATTTGCCTCCTCTCCACCGCCGCTGTGGCATTATTACATCATCTTAAGTGGAGAGTCCCCACATTTTGTCACATATTGATTTCTAACAAAGAGAACATATACAAACAAATCAGCTTTTCTTCAACGCAAAATAGTTTTTATAATAAAAGAAATGAAGCTTCACAATTTCCCTCAAGCTGCTCTAAGGTCTTCTCTCCCGTAAATAACTGGGGGAAAAACATATCCGATGTTTAAATTGTTGAGGAAAATTTACCATTTTAAGAAAGAAATTCGCTCATAAGTCGGGAGGCGGGGCTAGTTTGTCCAGCACGTCCCACAGATGCTGGATTAGATTGAGCTCAGGGGGATTTGGAGGCCGAGTCAACACCTCAAACTCATCTCTGCTCCTCAAACATTCCTGAACCATTTTCCTTTGAGGCACTGCACATTATCCCGCTGACATAGTTCAGACTTCAGGGAAAACGTTTCCATGAAAGGTTGTTCATGGTCTGCAGCAGTGGTTCAGTAGGTAGGTGGTAATCAGGCCCATCAGTGAGCCGTTGCTGGTTGTCAGTAAAGCATAAAGAACACCAGGGTTTAATTCAAAAAAGGGTTTTATTGACCCAAAAATATGAAAATATATTTAACGAAGCCAAAAAACTTAAACAGGCAGACCAATAAAAGAGGTCAAGTCAATAAACTAAACTCAGAATAACAATTAACAAACCTCAAACAAACATAAGACACACTGACCTGCTGAAGTGACACAGGGGAACTGCCGTATGAACCACTAATACGAAACAATTAAACAAGCATGAACCCCCCCATGAAGCATGTGGTTTCACCCAATTAGGCTGTCAGTGGTTCTTCAGCTCTCCCAGCACGTTGCCAGACAGCAGGTAACTCAAACAAAGATGCATTAACATAAAACAGAACGTTGACCTTGCAGTGTTAATATGTGTGCACGCCATATAAACACTGGGCGGTGTGATGGAAAAATAAATACATTTAATAAAGAAACAATATTGAACAATAAGTAGAATATATTAAAGCAGTGACTGCAAAGTAAACTAAGGTGAATCTACTGGTGGTGACGTGTGTGGTTTGCCTTCACACTGGTTCATCTGGTTCCTTCGTTGGGCCGCTGCAGACCCAGAGCGCCCCACCAGAGCTGCATTTTTGGAGAGTCGTCTGGCCATCACAGTTGTCTAACAGGTGCCACGATGAAGAGATAATCGGTGTTCTTCACGTCAGTGGTCATAATGTTGGTGCATGTTGCTGTAAAACCTGCATATACCTGTCAGAACTGATGGTGCCTTTCCAGATGTGCAAGCTGTCAATTCCATAGGCACTAATCCACCCCCAGACCACAGAGATGCAGGCGTTTGAACTGGGAGCTGATAACAAACCAGGTGGTGTCTCTCGTCTTTAGGCTGGAGGACGTGGCGTCCATGTTTTTAAAAGGAATTTCCAACCTTGAGTCCTCTGACCACAGAACAGTTTTCCTCCTCAGTGACGACCGTGTTCACGTGTGGCTGCTTTAAGCTTATCTGTGGATGCAGCGACAGTCGTGCCGGAGGGAATGAGGCACATCCGTTATTCATTTCCAGCCTCGTCTCCTGCACACAGAGATTTCTCCACATTGTGAGTCTGGTGATATTATGATCACAATTTTACATCGAGGAACATTATTCTGAAATGGTTTCTTATCATGTAAATGTGCACATCTAGCAGCATTAACACCAGTTTGTGGTCCACTGTGCCGAAACATTTTTCAGCTTCTCCCCCAAACCGTCTCGTGACCTTTTCGTTTCCTTTGTCAGCCGCAGTGTTTCTAAACCTGCATCCTCAGCGTTGTCCTGCTCGCTGTGTTTGAAACTAACGCTATGAAGGAATGTGCTGCTTATCTGACGGCTTCGTGGTCGCTCCTGGCTGACACAAGGATCCTCTTGTTGAAAAGACACAAAGCAGACTCTCTGTCCTCTTTTCAAACACCCAAGGTGATAACAGGAACACAGCCAGCAGTAAAACATGTCTCTCAGCCAAGGCTGCTTCAGATTTGGCTTACATAACCTTCTTGGCAGGATGTGGTGCATTCTGGGAAAGGGAAGCTTGTGGGGGATGCGGTATTTTGGGTTTTGACTGTTATCAGTGATAAAGAGCAGAACAGTGAAGGTCACTGGCCTGCAACAGCTTGTGTGCCTGTACGTCTTCTCACGAGCTGTAAAGCACGATGTGTATAAGCAAAGTTTTGCTCCAGATGAATGAAAATCATTGTTGCTTCAACCTGATCTGATCCTTCATCTGGGATCAACAAAGGTCCCTGTGTCGGGGGAATGGTGAAAGGTTACGCCAGGTAGAAATCAGATCAGGTGGAGGTCTATTGTTCTGCTAGAAGAGACGCCTCAGGTGAATCGAAAAGGCTCCGATGGATTATAAAGGAAGTGTGCTCTGTGCTGACTCGCCCGTTGTGCTCACAGGATTTGCATTTTGCAGTCAGCTACAGCCCGGCGACTGTCTCGTTGGTCCAGTTTTATTCCCGTGTGCCCGAGTGCCGATTACGCCATATGAGGAAGTGATGAATGCCCCCATTGTCACAGATCAGCCCGTTGAAGAGGAGCGTAAACATCAGAGTCTCGTGTTGTCGTGTCTGAGTTTCGCCAAGACAAATTTGCGCTCGACTACAAACAATGTTTAGTCTGAAATGCACCTGCTATCTTACCAAGGATTAGATGAGAAAACTGACACCGCTGTAACAGCAGGGCGTGTAATTTAAAGCTCGGGCACAGTGCGAGACCACAAGCAGTACTTATCTAGATGGTTGGTTCAGATGTTGGTGTCAGTTTGTCTGAGCATCATCAGAAGGGCTTTAAAAAGGATGAGGGGGGGGCAGGCTTCAGAGCAAACAGAGCGGAGTCGTTCCCGCGCCCCCGGGGTCTTGTTCCCCTGGACTGTTCAGCACATCCGGTGGAACCTGAAAAACACGTCGCCCGGCTCAGCCTGACATTTGCTGTTGTCACAGTTAGTCAGAGGCTTCAGGGGAAATCAGAGAGCCAGTGATGATCAGCGCTCATGTGGTTGTTTAATTGCTTTTATCAGAATCAGAAGACTT